GAGAGAGAGAGAGTAATGAGACTATGGATAAATATAAGAAAGAGAATAACACAAACACTGTAATTTGTAACATTGTACCTTCTCAGATCAAGTAAGGAGAACGCTTGAATAACGCAGGCAAGTTTTGTTAATGTCTCTCCATATTCGCAGGCGAAATTTTCTTGGGAGATAAAAGTACTCTTTTTTTAAAGTAATATACATTACTTTTGATAGGAAAAAGAATCGATAAATCTCCTATTCACGAATGTCGAAGGAATGATTGAGCAAATTTCTTTATTGAGAAACGTGAAATCATTCCGGTAGATAATTTAAGGAATGCATTTATCATTGTTTCAGTTGCGATTCGGAATATCGATGGATATCTTTAAAATTAGCGATTGAAGTATATTTGAAGGATATTTGTAATTAATCAGAACCGACACTGTGTGCCGAGCTCTACTGTAACTCGAATACACGATAATTTAAATTCTGTATTTACTACGGAAAATTAAGTTCTGTATTTTTATGTAGAAACGATTTTATTTAAACGTTATTTGATATAATCGAGAAAAGAAAACTTAATGTTGATGTGTCATTTGATATTATTTTGTCATATTTGTTATCAAAAGTATATGCCTCATACAGTTTATTTACAAATAGATTACGATTTTTTAAAATATTAACTTTTTAAAAGATTTTTTTCAATTATCGAACTCTGAGGTGAGTTTTTACCAGAGACGTATTATACTTGTTTAAAAAATTTTTTAGTTTTGATATTATAACGTTTTTATATTCTTTTCTTTATGTTCTCATTAAACAACAAGAAATTTTCGCAATCGGTTAACCAATCATTTGATGAGCAATTTTCTGTTTCTCTGTTTTAACTCATCTAATTATATAATAGAACAGTCGCTTTCTTAATCTTTGAATAATAATTTTTACTGTGCCAGAATTTTTTGTACATCTGAAAAGAGCCTAAATATAAGGTATAACAAAACATGTACTTAGTATTGTATTTTAGCGTTTTAATTTTCTTATTTTCTAGTTCTTGTTATATTTATTTATCTTCAATTGCATTATTAAACGAACAATGGAGATTTTTTATGTTTTCTGATTCTTATTAACTTTTTATCTCATTGTCATACTTTGAACATTAAGAGTCCTGTTTTATAAATTTTTTATTCAAATAGATTAAGTTATAATGATTATACAAGAAATTCACGTTTTTATTTCATTAAAAGAATATAATTCTACTGTAATCCACTCGCCTCTCCTTCTCAATCTAAATGACTCGCCAAATAAAATGATCAATAAACAAACCATTCACCTCTGATGGCTTTGACGCAAACAAAATTCACTGAAAATAGTGTAAATAACTCAATGGTATACAATCGGTTACTAAAAGGTTGCAACACTTTTTTCGATGTTTCGGGTTTTGGAATGCAGCCTACTCACCAAGCGATTGGTTTTTATTTGTGAATCCATGAATAAGAATCGATCGCTCAGTGAGCAAGCTGCTGGGTACGAAACCCATCGAAAAAAAGTGTTGCAATCTTTCTGTACACTAATAGTACACACTGATAAGCAACTTTCGCTTTTGCTTCAATTTAGCGGACCAATCACTGATCGTTACTCTATTGTCCATACTCTTATTAGAGCATAGATATTCGCGTCCACCATTTTTATTTTTCCTTTTCCTATTGCTTGTTCTGTCCCCATTCCGTCATTCTGAGCTGTGACGAGTTATGATCATTACAGGTTATGATTTGCTGCTTGAAATTTTGTAGCTCCTTTCATTCCATTTTTGCTCTCAAAATCAATTGAATATCTATCGTAATATTAATGCAGGATCTGAAGAGTATTTGGCGTTCAGGTTATTTCTAGATAAGGTGCCAAATATGTACCATATATCAAGGAGTAAAATTTCTGCGAGGAAATGCAGTGATGTTTATTCACAAGTCATGTATTTATTTTACAGCAATACAGCAAGTTATCGACGAATATTATCTGCAAAAAATTTAAATAATCGAATATCTTTTTCTGATCTATTGATATTGTTTACCGCAACGCACAAGGCATTTTATAAATATTTTTGCCTTCGTTAATATATAATATTTCAGTTTTTTTATATTCTTCTTTTCATCTCTTAGTCTTATGGTAAAATTTCGAAGTGCGTATATGTATATCAATATACGAAGCTACAAGGCTGGAAACAAAGTTTCCAACAGCTTAAAAGCTATAACCTATAACCTATAACAACCGTAACGATCATAATTTTTTCAGCTCAGCAAATGGGAACAGAGCAAAGAGTGAGAGGAATAAAATGGCAGATATGCGAATACTCACGTTTATAGTGTCTTAACTCTTATCATAAATATTCTAACGTTAATAATAGTGGACCGATTATGCGTTTCGAGTTAAGTTTCGATTCTCGATACTTGCGGCGTTTGTGAATTTGGCAGTCCTGCGTATAATGAATGCGTAGAAAAAAATATCATGAACGTAACTTAACTTGTAAGGCTTAGTCTACAGTCGGAAGACGTTGTATATTGTGTAAGAAATTAATCATGGTCGATCGTTTCTTTCCATGCAACAGCCGATAACCGAATACGCATGCATTCGACATCCGACGCTGACATATTGTAGAACAATAGTCTAAAGATTTTGTCTGCGATTAATCTTTCTTCTTGACAATCCTGACGAAGATTAATCGCAGTCAAAATCGTCTTTATGGGGTTAAATGGAACATAGCCTATGTTTTAATTGCGATATTCATAATCAGGAAAGGCTCCCGAAAGCTCGTACAGAACGATTTTTTTGTAAAAAGAGAAAAATAAAAATTTGTTCTGATATTTCACTCGATGTGTACTATAGTGCAATTAAGGTGTATATGATCTTATTAATAAAAATTTTCAAGAATCAATTTGCAAAATCTGGCTCTGAATGAGTTTTCCCAGCAATATAACAAAGAAATCCCACAGGTTTCATAAGAAAATATTATTTCTTCGAGAAGAAAAATGACCATAACCAGAATTGCACGTTCTGCAGTTGATTACTAATCATAGGGAAATTCTTCACATTGAGTTGAACAAAGAAAAGTAATAGATTTCTTTGTCTTTCTTGATAGCATTGACAATTCTCGCCTTCGGCCGAGAGTGATTAAGAACGAACTAAATAGCATGAGACAATCTGTTGAAAAAAATCCTCTTTTGATCTGTCGTAGAAATGACCGAAGGCCGAAAATGCTTTCTCAGCCGCTGCGATCTCGGACGCTCGATGTATATCAGTATAAGGGC